GTGCCTCACCTTTCTCACCTGTAAAATGCAGATAACATTGCAGCCTGCTGCACGGTGGTTGTGTGAGGTGGAGCTCAGCCACGAAAAGCACTGTGATCGGGGGCCATCATTGAACTGTGCTGAATCCGTGTTGGTAGGAACGCCAATTACACAGAATGAGTTGAAAGAAAAGCAAAAGCCCACCTGCTCCACTGGGCCCTTCCCCCAGGGAATCTGTGTTAACAGCTCCCCTGTGTCATTGCAGGAGAGGGCCCATGCCCACACTAAACATACGTGTGTGCCCACGTGTGTGTTGAGCAATATCCTTTCAAATATGGCCTGAGAGCATCCTGCTTTACACAGGTTCTGTATCAGTAACATTATACGGAACATTCAATCCAATTAGTAACATTCAGGGTACCTTTTTAATCAGCGGGTTCAAATGTATCCACCCCCCTTCTTCTTAATGGCTACAAGGTGTGTCATCCTATGGGTGGGCCGTAATTTACTACACCAGCCCCCAAGAGTAGGTTGTCACAGCACATAGGTGTGCTTCGGTGTGGCTGCAATGGATGGAGTCACAGAAAATCAGGCCACAAAAACAGATTTTGGGAAAAGTGTCCTGGGCTTCGTTCTCAGCTAGGCAGCTTCAAGCAAATGATACATTTTATTCACCTCTTGAATACCAACCGTTTGCCTCATTATCTCTACAATCATCATTGGCCAACATTTTGCCACATGTACTATATCACTGTTTATTATTAATTTTATTATTACCATTAATATTCTTGCTAAGCCATTAGAGAGTAAATCACAGGCGTTTGGGCCCTTTACTCCTTAATGCTGCCCTGTGCGTCTCCTAGGAAAATGGACATTGTTCTGGATAAGTCCAGCGCTATTATCAAATTCAGGAGGTTTTACATTATGTAATAATATTATAGGGCTGCTTGATGTAGTAAATTAAAATACAAGACAGCCAGTTAAATGTGGATTTCCAATAAACAACAAATAATTTTTTAGTATAAAGATATCCCAGTTATTCCATGGGATATATTTATGGTAAAAAATTATTTGTTGTTTATCAGAGGTCCACTTTAGCTGGGCATCC